AAGGTTCCTAAGAAGAGAGGTAGACCACCAAAGGCAAAGTCTGATGTCGAAGTGAAGATTCCTAAAAAGAGAGGTAGACCACCAAAGGTAAAAACTGACTCTGAAGTTAAGGTTGCTAAAAGGAGAGGTAGACCACCAAAGGCAAAGTCTGATGCTAAGGTCAAAAGGCAAACTGTAGCTGAAAGATTCCTGAGCCAAAGGAAGGTAAAACTCTCAGTGCCTTCAGATAGTGTCATAACCCCAACAGGTCCAGGTAAGTTCACAATTCACGTGGATCTTAATAAGAGACCTGTGAGGAAAGCTATATTTTTGGAAACTGATGAGTTACAGATAAGCAACCCAAATTCGTTCCCCAAGCTCCATGGAAACCTGTACCTAAGCCTAGAACGGTACTTCCTAGGGAAAGACCTGTGCCGAAACCCAGGACTAAGCTTCCTAGGGAAAGACCTGTACCAAAACCTAGGACTAGGAAACCAGTGTCTCCTCCTAAGGTCCGTAAGCCTGTAAGAGTGTCGAGGGAAGTCAAGGAGCAGCCTTTTGTGGTTACACCAGAGGAGCGTGGGGTCGATCCATTCGGAACAGACCTTGAAAAGCCATTCCACAGGAAAATTGAAACAGCCGCAAATGGAGCCGCTGTGACTTACTCGATAACTCCTCATTATATGGACCCTCTGGACCAGATGACTGCAAGCAGACAGGTAGTGAGAGGAATACTTGTAAACGAGTTAAAGAGAATGGGTGGGTTGAAGTACACAGAGACCCTGAAGGTGAGAATGTCAAAGGAAATTGGTGACGGGAAAACCAAGAAGGACTCAGTCTACTTCAAATCTAAAACTGGTACTGCGACTAACTTCGAGGATATTGAAAGTACTGCTGCTCAAAACCAACTGACAATATTGTCTAGAATTGAAACCTTCCAAAACTTAGGTTCAAATTGGATTATACTCAATATTGAGAGTCATTATGTGAACATTGCAATGTACAAACCGTTAAAGGGTAGTTCATATATGAAACTTCCAGGGGACATTAGTAATCCAAAGTGTGGGCTTATCAATATGAAGAACAATGACGACATGTGTTTCATGTGGAGTCATGTGAGACATCTGAATCCTAAGGCTAGAAGAGCAACCACTATCACACAGAAAGATAGGGAATTCATAACAAACCTGGATTACAAGGGTATAGACTTCCCTGTGAAGATCAGCGATATTGATAAAATTGAGAGGAAAAATAGTATCAATATATCGGTGTCCGGTTACAAGGGTAAGAAACAGTTCTACCCCATAAGGAACTCCAAGGCTAAATATGATGAGCATATGGAGCTTCTACTCCTAGGTGATGGTGAAGGTAACAACCATTATGTGCTCATAAAGGATGTAAACAGGATGCTCTTCCGTGTAAGTAAACATACACATAAGAAGCACTTCTGTCTACACTGTCTTCATAGTTGTGTGAGCAAAGAGGTACTGGAGAAGCATAAGGAAACATGCCTGGAGGTAAATGGAACTCAGGCTGTAAATCTTCCCAAGGAAGGGACAAAAATCAAGTTCAAAAATCACAGGAACTCAATGCCTGTGCCGTTTGTGATATACGCTGATTTTGAGTCCATACTAGTACCAGAGGAGAGAAAAGTGGAGTCAGAAAACCCTGAGGATAAAAGTAGTACAGACCTTTACCAGACACACAAGGCTTGTAGTTTTGGTTTGAAGACTGTCTGCCACTATGATAATAAGTACTCCGGTGAGTATAAGAGTTACGTTGGAGAGGATGCTGCATTGGTCTTCCTAAAGACTGTATTGAAAGAGTCCTTCAGATGTAGAGAGATGGTCAACAATATATTCAAGAAAAAGATGGTAATTACACCCAAACAGGAATTCGAATTCCAGGCTGCAAGAAACTGTTCAATATGTGGTAACGACCTTGGTGAGGATAGGGTAAAGGACCATGACCATGTAACAGGTAAGTACCGCGGAGCTGCTCACAATATATGCAATCTTAAGTATAGAATTACATGGAAAGTACCTGTGGTCTTCCACAACCTGAGAGGTTACGATAGTCATCTGATTATGCAGGAAATTGGTAAGTTCAAGATGGACGTCAACGTGATTCCAAATAATATGGAGAAATACATCTCATTCTCACTGGGTAAGAATCTGGTCTTCATAGACTCTATACAATTCATGGCTTCTTCACTGGAAGCACTGGTAAGAACCTTTCACCTGAGGACTTCAGGATAGTAGGTAAGAGGTGGAAGGGTGAGGACTTCAATCTAGTGACACAAAAAGGAGTGTTCCCATATGAGTTCCTCGATGATATTAGCAAACTCAATACAGAAGTTCTTCCGAGTAAGGATAAGTTCTACTCGTCACTGTATGAGTCAGAGGTGAAGGAAGAAGATTACCAGAGAGCTCAGAAAGTATGGGATCACTTCAAGATGAAAACCATGAGAGACTACCACGACCTCTACTTGGAGACTGACGTTCTTCTGCTGGCTGATGTGTTTGAGAACTTCAGGAGAACATGTCTGGAAAGTTATGAACTTGACCCCGCACATTATGTGTCAGCACCTAGTCTGAGTTGGGACGCTTTCCTGAAAAAGTCAGGTGAAGAAATAGAACTCGTAAGCGATATGGATATGTTTCAGTTCTTCGAGAAGGGTATGAGAGGTGGTACAAGTTATATTGCTCATAGACACTCAGCAGCTAATAATAAGTGGAGACGTAGGATGAGTCGTCTGAGAACAAGTACCTAATGTACCTCGACGCTAATAATTTATATGGCATGGGCGATGTCACAACCACTACCTAATGGAGAGTTCGAGTGTGTTGAGGAAGTTGATGGTATGAATCTAGAGGATTACTTGGGAGACAACGGAAGGGGAATGGTTTTGGAGGTTGACCTGGAATATCCACAAGAACTTCACGACCTACACAACGGTTATCCTCTAGCACCGGAGAGTAAGGAAATCAGTGCTTCTATGTTGTCAGATTATGCGAAGAGTATTGCTGAGAAATTCCAACTGACAATTGGAGGAGTAAGAAAACTAGTGACTTCACTAGGCCCCAGGAAGAAGTACGTTTTACATGTACGCAATCTGAAACTGTACACAGACCTTGGGATGAAACTCACGAAGGTCCATAGAGCGGTTACATTCAAGCAGTCTCCCTGGCTAAAGGACTATATAGACTTCAACACGAAGAAGAAGTCAGTAGCCCGTAACACGTTCGAAAAGAACTTCTTCAAGTTGATGAACAACTCGATCTACGGAAAGACTATGGAGAATCTTAGGAAAAGGGTTGATGTGAAATTAGTGTCCTCCAAAGACGACTTCCTGAAACTGACAGCGTCACCTTGCTTCCAGTCACATCGAATCATGAATGAGAATCTTATAGTGGTAAAGAGGATGAAAGAAGTTCTAACGCTGAATAAGCCGTGTTACGTAGGAATGAGCATCTTAGACTTATCCAAGACTTTAATGTACGATTTCCACTACAACACCATCAAGAAGGAGTACGGTAATAGTTCAAGGTTACTGTTCACCGATACTGACAGTCTGATGTATGAACTGAAGACAGATGATGTCTATGAGGACTTCAAGAGGATCGGTGAGGAGCAGGATTGCTGGGATAATTCAGATTACCCAAAAGATTCTCCATACTACTCAACCCACAACAAGAAGGTTATAGGTAAGTTTAAAGATGAAGCTGAAGGAGTACCTATAATCGAGTTTGTTGGGTTAAGATAAAAAATGTACTCCTATGTGAAGGAAAACGGTGGAGGTGGAATGACTGCTAAAAGAGTTAAAAAGTATGTCATCAGAAACAAGCTCACTCATGAGAACTTTAAGAATGTAATTAATACGAAAGGTAGGATGAGACATAATATGAATACAATCAGAAGCGTAAAGCATGCAATTGGAACTTACGAATTGAAGAAGGTTACTCTAAGTTGCTTCGATGATAAAAGGTATCTTTTGGAGGATGGAGTTACCAGTTATGCTTATGGTAACAAGAATATAAAAAATAGTGACTGAGAAGTTCCCACAGAGTAGAAAGTAATAATCCTAAAGGGTAAATAAGCAGGAAGGGCCCCCTGCCTTGTGTACCCCCAAGGAGGAAATAAAAGTTGTCGAAAAGACTTTGGAATAAAGGAATTGGACGATATTTGGAAAGTGTAGGATAATCGTGCTAGAGTCTCAGGTTTGAGATAAGTTAAATGAAAAAACAAGAATAGCAGTTTCACATTCTAATTAAATGGACCAACCATTAATTTTAATATAATAAAAATAAATACTTTTTAATAAAGATAAAAAACTAGTGGTCTAGAAAAATTGGCAATGGTCTAGAAACCTCAGTTCCTATACTACTAATATGTGTTATCATATCGCTCATAAGTTATGAGCGCAATGCTATATGATTAATACATGGTTCCAGCCATAGACTAAATTTTGATCTAGGCAAGAAGAACAAAACCTATCACCACAGCTATAGAAAGAGCATGTTGAAATTAGTAAATTTGGCCGCGAAATGTTGTAAAATGCGGAAAATATAGGCGTACGAAATTTGCAAATTTTGTATTAATTTGTATTACGCGCGGGACTGATATCCATTTTCCCGCGCGTAACACATGCAAATGATACAAAATTTGCAAATGATACAAAATTTGCAAATTTCGTATACGGCTATATTTTCCTCATTTTACAACATTTCGCAACCAAACTTTGCAATTTTACTAATTTTAACATACTCTTTCTAGCTGTGGTGATGGATTTTGTTCTTCTTGCCTAGATCAAAATTTAATCTATTGCTGGAATGATTCATTCAACTAAAGTATATACGCCATTAAAGAAGATTAAATTCAAACTTACTTTCCGTTATTTCTTGACACAGAATCATGTTGTTTACTGAGCATCTTTTGTATTCTAGATTTTTCTTCTTCCAGTTTAAATAGCTGCATGGAAACATAAGAGAGAAAAAATTAACAGCATTAGTATTTTTTCCTGCAAGTTGATTGGTCAAATTCGACGTATTAATCCAGGGACGCCGGAACTATGTGAAGGCAAGGGGGGGGGGCAGATTTTCGTGAAAGGGCACTTTTGAATTGATATAAACTAAGAGATGTTTGCAAAACATCGGGAGTTGAACTTCGCCTAATCTTGTTTTCTATTTATTGGATGATAGGGGTGTGAGGGGGTTCTCCGCCAGGCGATTGTGCTATTCTTGAAGATCGATGACTGCATTTCTTGCGTTTTCTGAAGCAAATTCGTAAAAGAATTGCACTAACATTTCTGACAATTCACTATTTCGCCAAGGCAACCTTTAAATTGGAAGGGCACCTTTGCCCCCCTTGCCCCGCCTGGTAGAGGGCAACGGGG